CACCATATTTTAATGCATGCAACCCATTCATGCTGCTGAGCCATCACCTGAAAAGATGATGTAGACCACCCACATGTTCAGATAATGTGGGCAAGTTGATCCTGTTTCCTGCTCCTGATTTCCCAGGTCATGTTTCCTCTGCCTTGGTCTGCAGGAATATTTCTGCAGGCTCTTTAGAAAACAAATAATGCAAGGATTGTCCTCAGGGGTTCAGATTTCTCAGTTGTCTGCTCTGGCACACGTTGCTTTGTCCACTCCCTGTCTACAAACAGGAGGCTGAAAAAAATAACACAGGTTTTAGGGTTTTTCCCTGCCTGGCTGTGCTGAAGTAACGATGTCTGTGGGATTTGCAGCTCCATGAACAGAATTTTGAAATTACCACTCTTCGAATAGATGTTGTCACCGATGGACGACACGCCGAGGTGGAGTTCACCACTGACTGGCACAAGGATGCTGAGAGGAGGGATCTCACTGTCAATTCCATGTTTTTAGGTACATTCTTTGAAAAGCAAATATTTAGCTTTCCTCTTGTATACAGTAGCAAGTATTCTAAATATTTATATTTATAAATATCTATAATATTTCAAAATAAGCCAGTGAATTCTGTCTGTTTCAATTTTGTTTGATTCTCCTGTGCAAATATGTGAGGTGATCTGACAAACCAGCTCAACTCACACAACTTCCCTTCTGCATTTTCAAATTATAGTGTTTAATTATGTCAACCACATTCTTAAATTCATATTTTTCTGGGGTTTTTTTTTTCTTCTTTTTCTAGGTTTGGATGGGACACTGTATGATTTTTTTAATGGCTATGAAGACTTGAAAAGCAAGAAAATCAGATTTGTAGGGAAGGCAAGTGAGAGAATACAAGAAGATTATTTACGAATCCTCAGATATTTCAGGTAAGAGGTTTTGCCTTTCTCAGATGAAGAAATGAACTGTAGAAGGTTTCAGAAACATGCAAAAAGAGATGTAAAAAGAGTTGTAGTTGTCGTATTTCCTTTCCAACCTAAATGATTTTGTGATTGTAAGTGCAATAGTTGTTCCTAATCTAACATCCAGGGGGTGTATTTGGCAGATTTTATGGAAGAATTGCAGAGAAAGCTGGAGATCATGAACCTGCTACACTGCAAGCAATTAAAGAAAATGCCAAAGGTTTGGCTGGAATATCAGGAGAAAGGATTTGGGTGGAACTGAAAAAAATTCTTCTTGGAAACCATGTAAATCATTTGGTTCAACTTATGTATGAGCTGGATATTGCCCAGTACATAGGTAAGGTGAAAATTGATTTTTTACTCCTATGTCATAGACAAACAGGACTTGTAGTGTGGCAAACTGAGATAAAACTTGGTTTCACTCAGAAAGAAATTAGATTTGATTTTTTTTTCCTTGTGTTAACATCCAAATTTCTTATTAATGCTTTCTTGCATTTCTCTGTGTATCCCTTTAGGGCTCCCACTCGATGGGAATTTAGAGGAATTTGCCAGAGTCACTAAAAACATTCAGAATCTGTCTCCAAAACCCATGACTGTCCTGACATCCTTGTTCAAGGGGAAGGATGATGTCACCAACCTTGACCTGAGGCTGAAAATCTCCAAGGAAGAAAAGAACCTGGGCCTTTTCTTAGTGAAGCACCGGCAGGAACTGAGCAAGGCCACGGGGCCAGAACCACTGAGGCCATACCAGGACTTTCTGATGGATGTAAGTGTTTCCTGTGGGTTTTATTTGGTCTTCCCAGGAAACTGAATTTCCAGTTGTTCAGAGCAGCAATGACAAGGCCTAGTGGAAAGAAAGGTCCTAAAAGAGCCAACAGCCATTTCACAGCAGGCTTCTCCCTTGGGCTTAACCAGTGTTTCGAAGGCCATGATATTTTCCTCACAAGGATGGCATGCACTGATAAAAATTATGACCAGCTTTGGATTGCTGCCTCTGTAATATTGTCACAGAAAATGGAGGAGTAGCTTTCATGTATAAATATTATTGATACCAGTTCCAGTTAAATCAGGTGGGGTTGGGTGGTTTGTTTTTCAAACAAGGCCAGGTTGGGTGGGACTTGGAGCAACCTGGGCTAGTGGAAGAGATCCCTTTAAGGTCCCTTCCAAGCCATTCTGTGATTTTATTATTCTTTTTTTTTTCCCCCTTGTTTTTCCTCTGGACAGGGAACCAGAAATCAAGAGCTATTGCAAATGTCCTGGCATGTCTCTGGCACATAAATCAGGAACTTTGGTATAAAAAGATTCTCTTCCTTTGGTAGAGTTTAGTTTTGCGAAAGGATGAACAGCAGACATTTCTGCTTGGCTTCAAAAGCTTTTTTTTCTTTTCCATCCAAGATACTGAGGCTTTAAATTCATTTTTAAGGAATTTATAACAAACAAACAAACCCACCAGGTTTTCAGTCAGGCTGAAAAACATTAGCACTGAGTTTTAACACTTGTGAGGCAGGAGAGATCCTTGTTTCCCTGGATCCAACTCATCCAGATCCAGCCTGATGAGGTGTGATGGGAGTAGCACAGTTGGAGCTGTTTTCTGCTGATTCCCAGTGAATCCTCTCTTTTTCCCTCTCCTCTCCTAGTCTAGGGAAGCGAACACAAATTCCAAGATCTTCGAGCTCCTGAAGTACCAAGGAGAAGAGCAGCTTTTACAGGAGATGCAGGAATGGACTGTTCCCACTTTCCCTGTCAGTGGCCATGACTTGAGGAAGATGGGAGTGACTTCTGGGAAGGAGATTGGAACAGCCCTGCAGCAGCTGAGGGATGAGTGGAAAAAGAGTGGATACCACATGGATAAAGAGGAACTGCTGAGCTGCCTGAAGAGGGTGTAAAATGAATAATAACAGAACTGTTTGTGCCCTGATCCGAGTGGAACTTTGAATATCTTGTCCCTCACAGCCAGTAGAGCTTCTGTGACATTTAACACCTTCAGTTACTAATCCATCATTTCTGCAAGGAGAGGTTTAATTGTGTAATAATGATTTGCCAAATTCCACATTTTCTACCTCTCTCTCTCTCTCTCTCGTATTTAGTGATAAATATTTGCTGCTTTATCATGACTTTGAGGCCCTAGAGGTGACAGCAAGGTTCTTCTCATTCTGACTTTGCTATATCTAAAAAAAAAAAAACCCTCAAATCTTCAAAAAAGGTGTTTGTATCCTCTAGATAAAATCATGGAGGGTTTTTTGTGCCTAAGAGAGTGACACTGGAAATAATGAGCTGTAATTTAACTCTTTGTAGTTAAAGCTGGATACCAGATGGAAACAGTCCAGCAGTTCCCAAACAGTCTTACCATGGAAAACCAGTCTGGTTCCTAGAAATATCTTTATTTTCCAGAACTCTAGAATCAATTCTAGGATGACTGGGCTGAGTCAGTATCATGGAATTCTTGTCTCTTCAGTAGCTTTTCAGTAACTTACCACTGAGTGATTAAATCCATGGAGAGCTGGTGGAGGGTCCTACAGTGTGTGAAACAAACTATTAATGTTAATTAGCATTAATTGGGCGGAGATCCAGGTTCCTTGCCTTGGGGAGTTGGGTTTTTGGAGCACTGCTGTCTCCATGAATGAGTCTTTACTATCCCTGGCTTTTTTGGTGTACTGTTAAAAAAACAAAAAAATAACTCTCATTGAGAGCAGCTCTTGTGTGTATAAACTTTATTGCAGGTGGAAATTTTCCTACAGAACCACGGTAACTAATAAAATCCTTTGGATTTCATTTTCCTTGGATATCATTCTGCAACACTAGATGGCAATACTGGAGCAGTGCTGAAAGAATTCAGCACTGTTTCTGTTTTCATACAACTTCCCAGCTGCCTTTTCTTTTCCTAGGAAATCAGTTCCTGTAAATAAATTATTCTGAAGGTACTTGGGAGCCTGAGGAAGAAGCAAGGTAAGAGAAAAAGTGCTGTTTGTTAATAAGGCAAATCTCATAAGAACATGATGGTGCTTAATTTAATGATGTAATTAAATGGAAGCCTCCTTTGTGCAATTTATTGAGCTCCAGAAATCTTGGGAGGGAGACGAGTGATAAAATGTAGTGCTGTGGTGGATTCCTTTAAAGAACTTAAACCTGCATCTTTAGGGCAATGGCTGGGGAGGTGATAAAATGAATTAATTAAAATTAACATATTAACCTTACCCAAAATTGCTGTCAGGGTCAAACTGCACTTGGAAAGAGGGTTTTTTAAGGACAAAAGTTTAAAACTGAGTCTTGTCATGGACCAAAGGGACACTTTGGACAAAGTTCAGCAGGGAGACCCTGCTGTGAGTCACAAGGTTTAATTTGCAGCTGGTTCTCAGCCCTCAGAGGGGCTGGGTGTGCCTGGATCCAGTCCCAGGCCCAGCTTTAGTCAGTGGTTCATGTCTAAAGGATTGTAGAGGTGTCACTGAACCTTTAGACAGCTTTGTCCTTCAGGATTAAGGGTGACAAACTAAACATATTAACAGAAAGGGATGACTTATTTAAATGCATGCTGATAAAGATTAGACTGAAAAAGCTTTAACCAGAACTTTTTACTGCACAGCACACACAGTTACAACTCCTCATGAGTGCACTGGTAATTAAATCAATCCTTTCAAAGCCAGCTTAATCACCACTAGGTAATTAAGAGAGTGATGTTACCCAAAAACAGTTTTGGCCAAGCTGGTCTCAGCTTCTCTCCTCCCTCCATCCATCACTTACTTCCAGTCAGGCCAAGTCTCAGCTGGTTTACTCCCACTTTGGCAGCCAAGAGTGTCCTGCTGCAAATCTCCAGTGCTCATGAAAAGCAGCACAACCAGATGAGTCTGAAAGCACCTTCCTTACCAGTCCTGCTTGGAATTCTTGGCTTCAAACAGCTCCTTGAAAAATCATCTTGTGCTTCAGGGTTCCCCTCGGTCTGTGGAGCATCTCTGTTCATTATCTTCCACAGGAATTAACCCCTGCTAAAATGAAAGGGCATGAAAACAAAATAATCACATTTTTAAAGCAAGCAGTGCCAGCTTGAGCTCTGGAAAAATGATGTGTTTGTTTGTTTGAGTAAACACATTATATTTTACAGAGTATGGACTATTTAAATGTCAAAAGAGATGAAGCAGTTTGATACACACATGGTCAAGTAAAATACTTTTCTACAATGGATTAGTTGATTAATTAGTCTGTGCCAGTCCAGCCTGCACAGACTTGGAAGCCAAAACTCTTTCATTCCACATGACTTTTGCAGCCAACCTGTTTAAAACACAACATAAACCCAAGCCTTGCCTTTTTCCCATCCCAGCAATCAGCAAAAGAACAGGTGAGTTTTGAAACAAATTGAATTTTATTCTTTGCAAATGTTTGCAAGCAACAAGATTTGTCAGAAAAGTTGTCCCAAAAGGCAGAGAGAGGAAGAGTTAGAGAGGAGACAGGGCTGCCCCTCACCAGCCTCACAGAGCAATTCAAGGTGACAGTGGGAGGAACAAATGAACTGCAGCACGTACAAAAAGAGCATTATTATAAAACAAAGAGCATTTGAACATGACTCAGTGTGCAAATGGCCTATGTGGTTCGACCTGGTAATCAAAATTAAACTAAATATATGAAAACTGCAATATTACAGGCTCTTGATTGTGATGGTGCAACGATGGCTTGGGAAGGAGTCTGTGCTCCATGAGCTGTGATCCATCAGTCCTGCTGCCTGCAGGACACTCCTCCTGTCCCAAAGGGTGCACATCCCACCCCCTCCCCTCCCCAGACACACAGCAGCTCTTCCACAGCCCTGTTCCCACATCTCAGGGCAGAGGAGGATGGTGGCAGAGGAGAAAAATGATCCCCTGGGGCAGCAGCCACTGGCTAATTCCTGCAGGAAGCTACAACCAAGGAATGGGGTAAATGTAGCAAATTATCATAAAGTGTCATCTCCTTTGCTCTAGCTCTCAAAAGCATTCCATGTCCATACTTGTAACCATTTCCCATAATCCCAACCTAAGAGTTTTCTCTTCAAAACAGAGAAAAGCACAGAAAACATGACCCAAGGGACAGAACCACCCCCAAGCCCCACCCACCCTGGAAGCCAGGTCCTGTACACTCTGCTTACTCACTGTGCTGGATTCATGGCAGGATTCCTCAGCAACCCACATCACACTTGTTTGCAACCTGGAAAGTGTCCTGGACTTCCACATGGCAAACTTCACACAGGTCAGGCAGATGGAACAGCATCATCAACAAGGAAATGAAATTACTGCTAATTTTACTCCTGACTTACCTTGATTATATTAGTTTACATTTGATTACATACACACAATCCCAAAAATATGCCTATTTTGGATTCAAACAGTACCAACATAACAACATTTTTAGTTGAGACAATCCAAAAGACTCAGCCAAAATTTCCAAAGACCTTATGAAGTTCAGTGACAGCTGAGAAAATCCTTTTGAAAAGCCCCTTCCCCATCCCCTCGGTGAGTATTCCAATGGCAGCAGAGGAAAACACCCTCAAACCTGCCACCAACCCCCCCTGAGGGTCATGGGAACAACAGATAGGAGGGATTTTGGGGGGAAAAAATAAACCAAGTCTACAGCCAAGGTGTGTTTGTGTGTGCAGGGTGTGAGGGGAGCCAGGTATGGTTCCAGTGGTTATCCAAGTGCAGAGGATCCAGAGCCTCCCTCTCACCCCGGTGCTTGGCATTCCAGCCTTTTCAAAGCTTATTACAGAAACATCATGAAAACACAGAATGTTTTCTCCAAGAAAATGAGCCATCAGTCACCCCCTGTTTGTGCAGAGCTGTATCCCAAGCCCTGCTTTTCACAGTTCACTGCTCCACAGAGCACTGCACACGGAATTAAACACGGAATTAAGGGTGTCTGAGGGGAACAAAGGAGGCCACAGAAGCACAGGGGTAGAAAGCTTCAGAGAACTAAATCTGAGTTACACAATCATCAGTTCCTACATACCTGGCATGACAAACACCTCAGCAGCCTCTCAGGGTCACACCTGGGTGCTCCCAGCTGCAGGGACCACATTCCCACAGGAATCAGCTCCTTGTGGGACAAGCTTGGACTCGACCCTCAACTGAAGTGCTCTGGCCTTGCTACATCTGGTGCCCGACAGAGAACAAGCAAGTAACAGCTCATGTCTTAAACCTCAAGTAGTTTTGTGTCATTGTATTTAGCAAGTGAAGAAATAAAGAGTGAATGATAAAGCTTCACAAGAAAAACAAGTGAGTATGTGCACAAACACAGGGAGAAATCTCCAGCTTCCATCACCAGAGTGAATTCTGAGGGAAAATCACCCCAATAAACCAGTGGCAAAAGCTGCCTCAGTTTGGCAGATAACACTTCAGACAAAAAAACCCCCACCAGAACTAAAACAACAACCTACCAAAAAACAACCTCCCTCAAAACACTCTGCCTTCATCTGTTTTATTTAGAAACTTTTCCTCTTTGTAAGGTGATAACGTGGAATTTTACTTTATGATCTGTAAGTGCAAAAGAAAAAATAATTAAAGAGATGCTGCCTCCCCCTTGTCACGATAAATAGTCCTAAAAAATCCCCTCAGTGGCGTGTTTTAGAGAGTCCTTCCCAGAATTCTGGATACCTCTGCTGGTAAACCTTCCCAGTAACAATTTTGACAAGTAACTGAAGCACATTCAACAGCAAATGACAATGTTGTTTCTGCCCTGGGACTGACCTGTGTATTTTTTATAAACAATTTAAAATTTAAGACTTCTAAAGTCAAAGAGGCTAAATAGATCAGACAACCGGTAAGGGACAAACACTTCCCATGGGTTCCATCCTGTGAGGCAGCAGCAGCTCCTGCTTTTGCCCATTCCAGCACTGCCACCAACACTTAGATCAGCCAGAAATACTTCAGCCTTGTTCTCTCTTCCATGGTTAGTCAGCAAATATCTGAGAAACAGCACAAGCAGAAAACCTGAAGTACTTCAGAGTCAGAAACAGGGATTCTCAGCAAAACCACTTGTAAGTGTGTTATGGAAAATACTCTGCAGCAAGTAACTGGTATCTACCATCCCGGGGCTATTGCATAAATCAGGCTGTGGTTAGCCAGGATTTAGTTCCTGCCCATCTTCCTCCCTCAAGTGGGAATTATACACGGAGAAAGTTCAGTCTCAAATCTGGCCACATGGATCAGAGATTTCTTGCTGTCTCCTGTTTCTGTCCAGATGGACCATCCTTTCTGAGTGTCTCAAGCCATCTCCTCTCCTCAGCTCTCCCTTTAAGGACTCAGCCTTCAGTCTCAGCGTTCCTGAAGGAACAGAACACGGACACACAGCACTCCCAAACGCGGTGACCCTGCCTGTCTCCTTGGATTGGTGAGTGTGGTTGGGGGTCCTGGGGGTTCTCAGGTCTAAGGAAGCATCAGAAGCAGAACTGAGCAGATGCACCTGCAGGAGCCCTGGCCAAGCCCCTCCAGGAGGTGACAGGTCACAGGCAGAGGATGGGGGAGCCCTCGTGGTCGGAGTCTTCCTCCCCCTCCGGAATGCGGGGCAGGAGAGCGGAGCGTGTCAGCCCCCAGAACTTCTGAGGGGACATTTCCTTCTTGGTGGCTGTGAACTTCCAGCCCATGTGGCTCCCACAGATCCTGCACTGGGCTATAGTCCAGGCATACCTAAAACACAAACCAGAAGGTTTCCTTTGGATGGAAGGAAAAGGCACTTTAAAAACACTTCATCGGCTAAGAAGTCCCAGCCTGGATTTGCAAAGACAATCCAGGTGCCCAATTCCCACCTAAAACCCTGCAAAGCTTAAAAAAATTAAGAAAAAAATCCCCACAAACTCCCTACCCCCAAAGTAGCCTTCAAAGAGAGGAAGTAAGTAAAGTTTTTTTGAGGAGATGCTGAGAGCCTCAAAGAAGGGTCAGAAAATGGTTCTCTGAGTAAATTACTTAATGGGAATAAAAGGGATTTTTGCCCTGCTCTAAAAAAACAGGCAACTGCACTTCCCACAGCAACAGAGCTCTTCTTTAACAGCTTTAAAGGGTAGAACATGAATATTTCAAAGCCCTCACAGAAGAGCTGAGAAAACACAAAAGGATGAGCAATATTAACTACAGGTATTAGAAGCCACAAGTTTTCTTCAGGGAGTGTTAAAATGTGCAAGTCTTGGGACAGAAATTCCACACACTCCCCATGTCACTGCTCAGTGCTACGTGACAATCCAGGGAAAAATCCTGGTCATTACTAGGCAAACATTTACATCTTGACAGTTAATTCTGCTGCTCTCTCAGAGAGACTGGCTCATTAAAAACAAAATAAAATCCAAGATTATCAGAGCAATGCAAATGTAACTTTTAATTTTACTAAACATTTATTCAGTTCTCAGAGCTAAAAAAAAAAGTATTTCAGTAGAATAAGTATATCCTACTAAAATACTTCTTAAATAAATAGTATAAATATAGAATAAATATATTCTATAAATACAGAATAAATGTATTCTGAATTTATATATTCTGATTTTCATTTGCACTTTCTGCTGAAAGAAAGCTGTGTGATAACAATTATTTTAGTTGCAGCTTACACAAAACTGTACACAAACTCCCAGACAACCAACTATTCATAAACTCCCAGATCCCCAAGCAGTGATCAGACTCTATGTTTTAAGATCTGAAGATTTTCCTATTTTAAAAACATTAAATTCTGTACATATTTGATGTGATTTTTTTCATTTTATGCTGTGTTTTGAATAAGTCTAAATTGACCTCCTTGTTTTTCGTATGAGTGAAATGATGACACATGTTTAAAAATTAAATATTTAACTACTCCACTGTCACAGAAATACATTTACATGGGAATTTCTGCCATTTCCTGGTAAAATCTGAGTGTTCTTACCCAGGGAACCAGCTGTGCTCTGTCGAGGGCCGTCCACTGAGATTCAGATTGGAGGCTTTATATACAGTGAGGGTTTCATGGATGTATCCATGGGGATTCACATAGGCTGCCATGGGGCCACACAAGGATAAGCTGCAACACACAATTAATGCTGGCAGAGTTCAAGGAAAAATCAAAAAGCAAACTCTGGCACATGTAAATGGGGGGGGGGGGGAAGTGCCTTTAATTATATTATTAAAAACTGAAAGAAAATATTTAAAATAATTTAAAATGTCATTTGTCCCATTTTCTTAGAATTGCAGCGAGGTATATGATAGACTCATCAGTTATTTTACTTGCTGTTTTTAAATAGCAACTGCCAATAAAAGCAATTAAAATCTAACATTAACAGTGAGGAAAATGTTCATTTGTCACACCAACTTCTCCTCACCTTCTGTTAAAAGTACATCACATTGACACAGCAGGAATTGTGGCTTCTGCAATCCATTATTTGATTAGAAGATAAGAAATGGCTTTTAATTACCACATCAGCTCCTTATCACACTGATAAAGGAAAACTGTGGGGAGTCTTTGTTAAACCAAGACATCTTTTAACCTTCACATTATCACAGGGGATGGGCTGATAGTCAAGACTAAAATAGTGAAAAAACTGCCAGAAGCAGCAATTATTTGGGAAATCTACAGTCTCATTATTGTTAAACAAGGAAGATATAGTTCAAATACAGAATGGGACCATACTGTAGTTATTAGGGATAACCTGAAATTCTTAAAATAAAAAAGGGATCACAATGCTTAGTGACATAAATCCACTTTCCTTGCATGACAACACCTTGGGAGCCTATTTATATCACCCAATTAGCGCACTGTAATCTCCTGTTGGCACATAAAAGTGATGATGGAAGGGCTAAGAAATAAAACCTGGGATCTCATAAACTTTACTCAGAGACAAGAGGATGGAAAAGTCTCATGTAACACATTTCTATTTCAAATGCTTTAGTGCAAGGTGCTGGGTTGTGTGGCACCACACTAAATTCTGTTACAATATACCTCAGATTTCCTCACTTTTTATTCAAAAAAACTCAAGTAACCGGTTTTATTTTGTAAAGAAAACTCCCTGTAAATATTTACTCCCATTTTATTCGAGCTGTGCAAAACACAGCAGTTATGAGACATGACCCAGCTGAACCTGCTTTGCTGTGCCAGGGTTTCTGATCAAGAACCTCCCAAAGATGAAGAGCAACAAACTCACCTGAATATTTCATTCTTGGTAGTTATTTCTGTGTCTTGGCATTGCTTACAACAGAGAGATGTACACTTGGAAAGGGAAAAAAGAGGGTCAGTCCATCCATTTCCAGACACTTGTCAGCAGTGGCAAATAATAAATGTCTCTCTCTTTCCCTCAGAACAGGCTTTGTAGCAATTATTTTGCTTATCTGAGCAGCAGGCACTTAGGTTTTCTCTTTCTATGAAAGGATATTTTCTTCCAGGCATTTTACCTATTTAAACATTAATTATGATCTAAAAGACATCACAATTTTTACACACAGAGATCCACACACAGTCTTGTATTTGACTACACAAAGATAACAAATAAACGAGCCAACCTCCCAAGGTCTCGAAAAGCTAATTTAGAAAAAACAACCTTTGCTCTTCTAAAGTGCAGCACAGAAAAGGCAGATGAGTACAAATGCAATCATTAAGTCTTTCTAAAAATTTCACAGTACTGTAGATCAATGGGTTTAATTTCCTCACCAAAAAATAGGTAAAACATATTGATCTTTCTCTGGGAGATTAGAACAGATTAATCCATCTTCTACAATTTCTAGAAAGTAGAACCAAGCAATTCATCACTGCCCAGAAAATAAGCATTTAACTCAGCTTAGTAAATTAGTGAATCAGCTCCTATTAATTTTCAGGAGGTGCAGTACTGCTTTTTAAGGGTAACACCTGTGAAATTCCCCCAAAATGATCCACTGCATTTTGGATTCAATTTGATACCAGTGAATCAAGTTTATATCAAAGACAAAGAAAAATGGATCAGGCCTCAGATCAGTTACATTACTGGGAATTACATTCTGAAAAAGCCAGAGCACCCTAAAGAACTCTGGCTAAAAACAAGAGTGGATTGGACCAAAATAGATGTTGTTGAAAAAGCTGTAAAAAGCTATAAATGCACTCAGCAATCTCACACTGTTACAGAACAGTTAAACACATTTACAGGCTAGAATGGCACATGTTGATGAAGAAAATACCTTTTTAGTGTAGGTTAACAATCAACTTTACCTTCTATTTTATTGAGGGTAACTTTAGCCTTGTCATCTTGGAATTTATAGAAAATACAGAATGTACTGAACATGAACAGCAGCACCTGAACAGCAGAGTATTTTCAGAGTCCCTGACTCAGGGAAGATAAATGAAGTTTAATCTGGTTACAGAGCCTCAGGCAAAAACCTGCCCATTTCTGTCTCAGAATCTGGAAGAGATGTTTTCTGTCTCCACTCTCTGTATTTTCCCTTTTACATTTTTTGGTGCCTGAACTTTGGGAAGAGGAACAGCATTAAAATGATGCTGAGGTTCTCTTTTCCCCAGAAACAGGCAGCACTTTTTAGGCAAACAGGCCAACCCTCCACTGCTCTGTATCAAGCAGACAAACAACATTATTATTAATAAAGCATATATTACTATCAAGAAAGGTACTGAATAAAAATAAAACATTTAGAGTATCCCAAGGCCATGGCAATGGAAAGAAGGGAAGGGAAGACAAGCTTTTGAATATCATAACAAAGAATTGCCTGACAAGTTAATACATGTCTTTTGGAAAAAAATCCTCATAGTCCAATACATAGATTGACACTCAAGAGATCAACAGTACAAAGGTTTATCTTCTGCTACAAAATCCCCAGGTTTCCATGGCACACTGATCCCTGACTGCAGTGTCTGTATGGGGTTATGATGTTCACAAGATGCTTCTGAGCAACACTGGACTTACAGCACCATCTCTTGGCTAAAAAAAGTGCTGGGAGGCCTTGAAATAGTGTTTCTAACACAAGTAAATATCATTTCTTTCATGTTTGCTGCCCAACAAAATCCAGCACTGAGAGACCACTTTCCTTCTTGAGCAAACTTAAAGGGGAAGGAAGAAACAAGAGAAATTCACTCTCTAGAGGGATGAGCTGGAACATCAACAGGTTCTTGTCAGAGATTGTAACAGACACTGCTATAACTCTTTATGGCAAGAACAATTTGAGGACAAGGAAAGCAAAAATACTCACTTTGTTCATAATGTCTAATTCACAGCGGAGTCTCTGCACAGCACTGCCTATTTTGAGCAGCTGGATACGTAAAGCATCATCAATGGGCAGGCAGGCAGCAACTCTGTAAGAAAAATCTGGAAATGAGAGACCAGCAGGTCTGTTAGAATTCAACAGAGAAACCAAACCCACTACTTCTGCTTATTCTGTAAAAGTCAATTATCTAAGCTGTGTTCTCGTAGGAAATTAAAAAAAAAAATAATAAAGCAAACTCAAGTTTGTAAAATCAATAATTTCCTACCTATTGGGTTTGTTGGAAGAGATTCATCTTTAAGGTTTTCATCCCATTCATGTAGCTGCCTCTTGACTCTTTCCATCAAGGTTTCCTTTTGTTAGAAGAAAAGCCTAATTTAAATACATAGGTATTTCTGGTTTCTTAGGAAAAAAAAAAAAGGGAAGCAAAATGTAGAGTAAGGTATTTTCCCTAAGTGGACATTAGCTTTTAAGACTTGCAATAATTAAAGAATCATTTTGTATCTACATATTTTAACTATTTTTGCTCTGAGACAACAGAGCAGGAATCAGAAGCTCCAAAATCCACCCCAAAAACATGCTGTAGAAGGAGGGAATGACCACACAGAGGGGGAAGCCCTTCCTGATCTTTTCACACTACCCCGAAAAGTATAAAGTGCTTTAAAGTGTAACTTATGAGTCAACAAAATTAAAGCTTTTATATTATCCAATCCTTAGATAATACAGCCATAAAACTAACTGAAGGTTGTTTGATAACACACAGGGTGGACTTACAGCATCATACAGAGAGTAGAGCCAGGGAGGCCAAGATGTCAAACTGGCACAGTGGAACTTCCTCTGAAAGCAAACCCAGACATATTTATTCTTTAACATAAGCAGATTTTAGAGACAGAAGATTTCAAGGTAACTTCCCTTTTATATGTCAAAAACAGTGGGTTAAATAATAAATCCATATATAAACTGGCACAGGTTGCCCAGAGAAGCTGTGGTTGCCCCATCCCAGGAAGTGTTCAAGGACAGGTTGGACGGGGCTTGGAGCAACCTGGGATAATGGAAGGGGTCCCTGCCCATGGCAGGGGGTGGGGCTGGATGGGCTTTAAGGACCTTCCCAATCCAAACATCCTGTGACCCTATGAAAAGCAGGATGCTGGCATCTCCTCTACGGATGAACAGATGGGATTTTATACCGATTTTCAAAACACCCTCAGAAATTAATAAAAACCTGAACCAGACCCACGGAGTAACCTCTGACCTTCTGGTACTTCTGCCACCACTGGCGGATGGCTCGGTCCTGCCAGGAGGAAGGTTTGGGAGAGGGGAACACGTGGCACCTGCTGAGGGACTGCAGCTGCACTGCTGCCATCGTGGAGGGCAGCACGCGCTCCGGAAGGATCTGCACTTTGGCCTGCTGGATTCTGAGAGAAGAAAGAGAAGGGTGAGGAGTACACACAGAGCCAGGAGGTTAAAAACTGGACTGGACTGCTTATAGAAAATAGGCTTGGGTAACAGATTAATCACTACACAGTAGCATAGAATTTAAGCAGCAATCCATTCCATCCCATTTTTTTTGTCTTTACATTTTAGAGCACTGTTGGGATTGTGCTGGACAGAAATACAGACAGATTGGCAGTGGCAACGCAGTAGAATATTCCACCATCTCAGCACTATGTATTTAAGATTTTTGTCTCCTCAAGTTCCTTTTGGTACAAGCCAGTATTCAGCTCTCACATCTCAAACCCTCAAAAGGTGGTTCAGCTGAAATGCAGTTTGCTATCTTCAAACCACAAAAGCTTATGTGCTCAGCCAGAGGTCAGAATCAGCAGAAATAGGATACAGACTCTGATCAGCTTTTAATATGCCACCATCAAATCCCTGTTCCACAAAGAGTTCAGCATATGTTGTGTGGCCACTAAGAATGCTGCCCAGGGCAAAGACTTCACTTTTTATCAGTATTAAGCAGCAGAAATACTGAAATATTGAGGAGTGTGTCATTACGAATTTCCAATTTTATTAGAGGGACAACACTGAACTGGTAACTTACAATAAATTATAAATTGATGTTTTGCTATAAGCACTTAATCAGAAAGACCAAGAATTATGGAAATGTTTCTCTTGCTCAGAAGCTCTGGACACTGAATCCTCAGTAGCTGCTGCTACTGCAGTTGTCCCAGCACTGCCACCATGTGTCCAAGCAGTGGTTTTCCAGAGCTGTAAAATCTGGAGTATTTGTAACCAAAGGTTACACAGTGACAAACAGCAAGCAGCACAGGTATTCTTAATTTCTTCAGCTGCAGGTCATAAAAGCATAAAAATGCTGAGTCCTGGCTGCTCCCAGGCCTCTTCCTAAAGCAATGCCACTACACTGAACAGCAGGATACAGGTGATTAGCTTCAGGTTTACAGATTTGGAGTAATACTTTATAAGCTTTGCAGAAAGATTGCAGAAACCTCTAGAAATTGTGCTAAGAATTGTCACATGCTCACAGGATCAATAGCTGGAGCCTGCACCTCTGGACAGTGACAATGACAGAGGCTCATAACACAGGGCATGATGTCAAGAAGGAAATGAGAAAAGACTCAGCACATTCTTACTAAATGTTCAGGATCTTACCTTTGTTCATTTATAAAAATGGTTATTAATTACATAATATGATAAAAACAGTCAGAAGAGCCTCTAAATATCACTGGAACATGGAAAAGGACTAGGAAATAAGAGAATACTCCTATCAAAGCTGACTTGAGTGTGTCTGACAAGTACATGAAGAGAATTGCCAAGCAATAGCAGGAGAAGCAGCACATTTTTATCAGTGAAGTCTCAGGGAACAGAAAGGAAGAGTAAGACTTGCTGAAGGTCAGGATGTACTAAACTGTGACAGTGGTTAAGCTGAACAAGATTCAGGATCTGAGGAACTGAAAATGATGGGCTGCTTGCAGTTGGCAAAAATCAAGATCCTGGTTTCACAGTCAAATATTTATGCACAAATCTCAGTGGGCTTTTGGGTTACAAAGGAAAAAATGCCAGAAGTCCTTAATAACCAGAGAAGCTGCTGATTAAGCACTCAATTACAATCTATAGTAATTAGACAACTGTGTGACTGAAAGGGCAGATGCATCTGCAGTAAAATGTAAAGTTTTGGTGAGACAAGGTTTGCAGTCAAGTAGAATTAAATAAATGTCTTACCCATCTGACTGTGTTCTTATTTCAAGCACCTTGAACCTCTGCCTTCCTATTGCTTTCACCTTGACTGTTTCAATTCCATATTCCTGCTCTTCCCTGTAGGCATAGATTTCTGCTGTTGTTCCAAAATGTGCTTCCCTTTCACGTACGTTACTAAAATAACAGAATCAAAGATAAATTTAATCAATTACCCACCCTCCAAACAGCTCATTCAAATTCCAGGAGTCAGTCTGCCTGCACTGACTATGCACAATGAGTCTTATCAAAAAAGTAATTTTGGTTAAATGCTTTCAACTAATCACAATTATTTTTCCTTAATTCCTTTATTTTGTTTTAAAAGCAACTTCTAATGTTTTGTTGGGGTTTTTTTTATGGTTGGGGTTTTTTGCCAGTTAACTTGGTTTTATTTTAGGGTCTATAGGTGACATTCTAGGAGCACAGGCATTACCAGGGTATCTGCCTCTCCAATGCAGATACTTAAAGCATCAACATTCTTTAGATGGACTTTATAAAAATAACTCACCCCCCCCCCAATAAAAATAAACATAGGGGGGGGGGGGGGGGGGAAGAGGGAAGAAAATTCCCAACTTCTTTTGGCACTGATTAGCCTTCATCTTTTCTGCTTTTTTATCACCTCCTGTGTCCCAACTCTACCGTGAAACATTTGTCTGTGCCTGTCAGTTGATACACAAAACAAGCAACAATACAGCTCTCAAAACAAGAATGTGATTTTTCCACTTCAGGTCCTGGCTTATTCTTTAAGCAAGACGGAACAAAGAGTTCCCAAAATCAAGAGGATGCTCACCCAAGGGAGCAGATGAGCACTCGCTGTTTCTCTACACAAAAACACGATGCTGTCAAGCACCGACCCGGTGGGACACGACAAAACCTCGGGACACACTAAAAGCCAATTTTGGGCAAACAATCTCAGCGTACAACTTGTTATTGAGCACAGAACCGATGCAAGCACCTGCTTTTGGTTTAGTATCCAAAGAACCAGCGCTCCAAGTGCCCGTGTGCTTTACCTGTAGGCGAGCACAGCGAAGGTCCTGTCCCTCTGGATTAAGCTGCGCACCATGCTGACCTCCTGCGGGTGGAAGAGCTGCAGGGGCAGCGTCTGCCCCGGGATCAGCATCACCATCACGTGGGGCAGCACCGGGATCACCTGGCAGCTGTCGTCGTCGTGGACAGTCCTCCCGTGGAACTCCTCCATGTCGGAGCCTAAGTACTGGGAACAGGGCAAGGACAGTCAGAGAAGGGCCTGGGGGGGTTTGAGGGAAGGACGTGGAGGAGTTGGAGGCACTGAGGTGATCAGAGGGATGGAGCAGCTCTGCCGGGAGGAGAGGATGGGAGAGCCGGGATTGTTCAGCCTGGAGAGGATTCAGGGTGAGCTGTGAGGAGAGGCTGAGGGAGCTGGGGGGGTTCAGCCTGGAGAAGAGGAGACTCGGGGGAGACCTCCTCACTCTCTGCAACTCCCTGACAGGAGGGGGGAGCCAGGGGGGGGGTTGGTCTCTTTTCCCAGGCAACCATCAGCAAGACAAGAGGGCTGGGTCTGGAGCTGTGCCAGGGGAGGGTTAGGTTGGAGATTAGGAAGAATTTCTTTGCAGAGAGGGTGCTCAGCCGTTGGAATGGGCTGCCCAGGGAAGGGGTGGATTCTCCATCCCTGGAGGTTTTTAAGAAGAGACTGGATGTGGCATCAGGGCCATGGGCTGGGAACTGCAGCAGTAGTGGATCAAGGGTTGGACTGGATGATCTCAGAGGTCCCTTCCAACCCAGCTGATTCTATGATTCTATGGTTCTGTGAATTGTGGCCTTTCAGGGCCTGAAGGAGCCAACAGGAAAGATGGGGAGAGACTGTTTACAAAGGCCTGGAGTGACAGGACAAGGGGAATGGCTTCACACTGCCAGAGAGTAGGGTTAGATTGGATAGCAGGAAAAAATTCTTTATTGCAGGGGTGGGGAGGCCCTGGCACAGGTTGCCCAGAGAAGCTGTGGCTGCCCCATCCCTGGGGGTGTCCCAGACCAGGATGGATGAAGCTTGGATAATCTGGGATAGTGGGAGGTGTCCCTGCCCATGGAACTCAATGAGCTTTAAGGTCCTTTCAGCCCAAACCATTCAATGATCTTATGATTCTATGAAACTAAAATTAAGTCTTGGGCTTAAGAACATTACAACACAACCACACAAACCCAATCCAAACCTCTTCAAGATGTATTTAATGGGCAACATATAAAAAACATACCATATGTGATGTGGGCAAACTGGTATCAAAATTAATGACGTTTGGCTTTTCTGCATCTTTACTATCTTGGTCTTCCACTTCCATTTCGTTGTCATCTTCTTCCTCACTCTCTGCTAAGAAGCACAGACAGAATATTGTACAGAAATCAGTCAGCAAGGACTAAGAGACTGAGAAAAATCAGAGAATGAGGGAAATGCATTCAATATTCCCAGGCTACAGCCCTGCACAGGGAAGCAGCCTTTATATGTGCAAACTCGAGAAAAATAATTTTCTTGCTGTATACAGGAAAATCATTATTCTACAGAAAGGCTCAAACGCTGGTAATTTACTTTTGAAAGGCTAAAGAATGACATTTTTGCAAGAAAATAATAAACAAAGGCTGTCAGTGCAGATTTTCCCTACAGTAGTACTTCTTTATCTCAGTTCTAAAGGTTTTCTGTCTGTACACTGGGTTTCCAGATAACTTAATTTCTTGTAGGATGCTGAACACAGTGTTTGAAGCACTACAAACCAGAACAATAAAAATAAGCAATGTGAAGCTGTGTATTCATGCAGGGACTCCTGCTGGTATTTTAGACAATTTAACAGCTGTCAGGCTCTGCTGTGTGTACAAAACAAACACACAAACCCAGCAAAGGCAGCTCCTAAGGAAGCAAATTACATGACTCCAAAAGATTTCAGGTATAAAACAGTATTTAAAAATTACTTTTTCCTTCCTATTTCTCAGTTCCAGATGCTGATCTTAAAATTACTTTCAGCAAGAGGACAGTTAAATGACCAGTATGTTTTATTTCAGAAACATAAACAGTGCACTTATCTGTATAAAATCCGCATAAATATTCTAAAATAAATTAAAAACACAGTGAAGTGATAAAAAATATTATGTCTAAAATGCTGTTTTCACTGTCTGTTCTGTGCATTCCCATACAATGTGTGCCTGCAAATACCCAAACCAAACACAATGCAATGATCACAAATTTTTATCTGCTTTACCTGACCCTGTTTCTTTGAACACAAACACTATTTATACACCATATTATATCTAAAATAGATGTTATCATAAACCAATCTGCAGGATTCTTACACCAAGAGCTGCTGGGTAATGGATAATCCCAACGGTGCTGAAAAACATTGTTTAGATCTTGAAAGCTACTACAAGATAAGCAGAAAAATATCTTAACAGCCTGTCTATTTGCCTGCTTTTGCAATCAGTATATTCTTAAGAAATAATCCAAAGTTGAAAATTTAAAGGGTGGAGTGATTAACTGATCTGAAGGGTTCTGTAGATAAATCTTACAAAAGAAAGGTGCTGCAGAACAGAAGAATCTTCCTTAAGAAAGGGGAGCACCACTAATTTTACTGTTTCTGAGAGTGGGAAGACAAGAGAACAGTGAAGAACTACAAGCTGGTTTTGGAGAACCTTTCCTCTCCTTCTTTGGCCTTCACACACATTTGTTAAATGTTCTTTACAAATTCTTCAGTCAATAGTCTTCTTTCTGCTCCACCTCATTTTTCTTTTAATAATGCCTAGTTTATAGAACCTGCTCCTATGGATCCATCCTATATTTTATTTAGCTCAACAAAAATTATCCAGCGTGTCAGGAAAGGAGGTTACAGGCTCTCTTTGGTATTTTACCTAATTAAAATACTTTAAGCAATGAGACATCATCTTCCTAATTATTGTTAAAAATATTCCATTTCTATATGAAATTTCCTTCCATCATATTCAGTTAGGAACCCTGACTGTGAATGACTGCAAAATGCTTAAGATGCAAAAAACTGCCATTATTTTGCTTAGTTTGATATGGAGGGAAAGAGCAGGAAGTTTTTGCTTGGTTCTGGGGCAGCAGTGCAGGATGGGGGGAGGAAAAAACCCTAATATTCTGCTTTTCCATGTGCTCTCATCCAGCTGGATCCGTCATTAGCAGGCTGAACACCCTTTTAGAGCGAGGCCATTCCCCTTGTTCTGCTGAAGGCAGAAGGAATTAACAGCAGTTGATTAGAAAGAACTGCCTGCCCTGCAAACTTTTGCTGGTTCTTGCCAAAAACGCACAGTGGCTGCTGTGTGGTGGCACAGGAACGATGACTCATTTCACTGCAGCAGCACCAGCGAGCGGCGAAAAAACACCACTGGCGTCTTCACCCTCACCACGGGGACAGAAGGGAGGAGGCAACACAGCCTGCAGCTTTACACCCCTCACTCACTGTACCTTTATTATTATTTTTTTAGACCTCCAGCATGCAGAAACAAGGGAAAGGCAAGTGCTGAGGGGACCCTGCATGACAGGGCTCACGTTCCCCTCATGGCACATCAGGCATTCCCAGAAGCTCCCGTGCCACCCTCGACGCCTTTGTGCAGAAATATGAACCTCATAACAATGCAATCCTATTAAGACTGCGCTTCCTAAAATATTCAGGGAATATTTCCATATTATTTAAAATATACAGGCCTAAAATGGTCACAGAACTTCCTGCCATAGGAAATTACTTTGGTTACTGGTAGGACTTACTGCTACTTTCTCCTCTACATGCTTATTCTGAAATAATGGTTTTTTCCACTTTAGCACGAGCTGCTTCCCAAAACCATACGATCTCCTGCCAGTCTGAAGGCACTATATGCAGAAAAACGCACATTATTATGCAATAAGAATGCGTAATGAGGAATTACAGATAAGCCGGGCTGTCCCACACACCCCAGCACAAACACTGCCAAAGCCTGCATGGGGCACAACGCTGCCCTCCAGCCTCTTGCTTCCCTGCTTATTAACGGCACTGGAGAGCATTTAAATGCAGTGGAGACCTTCTAAAACAACACATGTATTCCTCAGACTTTGCCTGGTTTCTGAATGTGCAGAGAAGTGTCCGCTTTGCCCAGTCTGGTGGAAACCCCACAGCGCGTTTCACCCCAACACCCCCGATCGAGTGTCCCTCCCTCCACCGCACATTTATGGACTCGGTGGATTTGTAAGAGCCCAGGCCTTACAAAAGCAGGATTTGCGGCTCCACCGCCCAAGGTTCGCCCCCCACCCACCGGGAGCGCCCACAGCTCCACAGCCCAGCAACCCGGCCACGCACCGCTCCCCTCACGGCCCCTCCGCCCTGCCCGCTCCGCTCATTCCCCTCACATCGCCCTCAGCCCTTCCCTCCGCCCCTTCCCCCCGGCCCCGGCCCCTACCGGGCACCAGCTGGAGGTGGTTCCCCATGTTGTTCCGCGGCTCGCCGCCTCCCTCCTCGGCGGCCATCGCTGTTTACCCGGAGAGGAGCCTGGGAAGCGGCCGGGGCGGGGCGGCAGGAGGAGCCCGAGCCCGAGCTGGGGGCTGGGGGCAGCGGGAGTTTCACCGACCCTCGGGGCTCCCACGGACCGTGGGGCGGTGGTGCTGTGTCCCCCGGGGAGGGACAGACCCTCCCGGCCCTGGCGGTGCCGGGGACAGCGGGCCCCTGCTCTCCCCAGAGGGCACGGCCATGGCGGACCCGGGTAGAGCCTCGGGGCTGGCACCTGCTGCGGCTCCCGAAAGCGCCTCAGTGCCCGAGCCCGGCTTTGAGCCTGGTAGAGGGGCTGGATGCGGATAAAATCACATGGATGGAGCCTGTTGGGTAAATGGCTTGAGAAGGAAGCCACAAACACAACGATGGGTTAAAAATCAGTACAAGAGAGACGTGGAGCGAGTGCAGGGAAGGGCCGGGCAGATGGTGAGGGCACTGGGGCATCTGTGCTGTGAGGGGAGGCTGAGGGACCTACCTGGGGCTGTTCAGTCTCGAGAAGAGATGACTGAGAGGGGATCTTATCAGTGCACGCAAATATTAATTATTTAATTATTAAAATTATTAATTAAGGGCAGGTGCCAAGAGGATGGAGCCAGGCTCCTCCTGGTGGTGCTGAGCAGCAGGACAAGAGGCAACACGCTGAGACTGATGCCCAAGAAGTTCCATCTGAAGATGAGGAAAAAGTTGTTTTCTGTGCAGTGACGGAGCACTGGAACATGTTGCCCAAAGAGGGTGTGGAGTTCCCTCATTCCAAGGATCATCTGGGCACAATCCTGTGCCATGTGCTCTGGGATGACCCTGCTGGAGCAGGGAGCTGGGACCAGATCACCTCCAGTGGTTCCTTCCAAACTGCCCCATCCCGTGGCTGACTCTGTGTTGTTTATGCAATCCCAGCAGAGATTCCCGAGGGACACCAGGTCTCCCTGCTGTGCCAATGTGAGCTGGAGAGGCACCAGGGGAGGCTGAGATGACCCGCCTGGTTTGTGGGACAGACCTCAGTCCTTGTGTGTTTTCATTGCCTTCCCCTTTGAATAACCCCAAACAAACCTGCCATATAATGACTCTGGGGTTTCTCCCTTTTTATTACAACATTTATTTTTTTTGTTGTTGGAAATGTTTATTACAAATCACTAAATTCCATACAGTGCTCCTGAGCATTTCACAGTTGCTTTATCTCAGCCCTGAGATTGTTTTCTCCCAAAAAGGCCTTTTTTGCAGGGCAGAATTCTACACTTTCTGCTTTTCTCTTGAGTATCTCCCATTTCAGTTCAGCAACAATATTCTCCCTGGACCAGTGACAGAGGAAACCAATGATTAGCCAGCAAGCAAAACACTAATTTTTATTTTTTTTTCAATCAGAATTAAAACGTTTTAGAGAAGCACATTTAAAAGACAAATAGCACTCTAATTTCCTTACCATCATGGGTGGGAAATTCCAAAATAATCACTATCTATACTGACCTGAATGTGCCTTTAGAGCAACAATCACTACCACATTTGCCAAATGAGGAATGTAGCACAAACATGCCTATGATGATACATTAAGCATTTATAAGAATACAATAACCACTGAAATGATTAAGTTATGATTCCATAAGTTTTTCTGCATTATCTCAGTGTAATATACCCAATTGCAGGGTGTTGTATCTGTTTATACACCATAATAAAAACAATCGAATGTTTTTGTTGTCAGGCTGGTTTGCAGCCTGGCCGACTGAAGTATTAAAAAATTATGTAAGCCACTTCTCCACACCCTGGGGTTTCATTAAAAAAAGTTTGGCTACATATACTCCTTTTGATATGCTAATCTATTTTGATTTCTGTTGGTTTTTTACTGGATTGCTGGGGGTACATTTAAATCACACTTTTAAGCTCGTTTCTGCACTCTCGAGGGACAGAGCTTATTTTTTAGTGGCTCCTGAGATTCTCCAATAATTCCATGACTGAAAGAACTGAGATTTCTTTTAGGAAGCACTAAATTCAATAAAAATTACAATAAAATGATAAGTAGTGGAAACTCTGGGAGCAAAACCCGGGATTTCCCTATCTCTTATTTTGGATGCTATTGCATCTCTTTATGACCTTAACCCTGCTGTGTGAGCACATTAACTCCAGCTACTGCCTTAAATCTAAATACACCCCCCAAATTGGGCATTAGCTATAATTTAGACTCTGACTGTGATTTACAGTTCACTATTCACCAGGTTTTCCTACAGGGAAAGAGACACTGAAGACACTGTGAGGGCTTTTTGGTGAAGATTTTTCTTGACATCTGTGACTTCTGTTAGGTACCATGTTACCATCAGGATGTTTATTGAATACACTAAGGTATAATTAATTTTTTTGTTTTTAAATTAAACCTGCTAGGAAACACATTTAACATATCAATATTTATATTTATCATCACAAAAAGCTGCCATCAGTTTGAAGAGTCATTAAGGTTACACTTTAATCCCTCCCAGCATGTAGTGTGTTCCCAAATGGAGACTGGAATCACTGGGAGTTGTTTGCTATTCCTCCAGGTCAGGTTATAAACAGAAAGCAGCAGGTTGCAGACTGAAAAGCAACGTGTCAATCCCAAGTTATTTGAGTAAATTTGGCGAGGGCAAGGCTATGCATATCCCAGAGTCCCTCAGTTAATCTGGTCAGTGCCAATCTGTCTGAGGGTCCCCAAATTACTGTAATTTAGATGAAGTCAGAGCACTCCAGTGTGATGAAGGGCTTTTTGCTTTGGAGCAGCTGCTTCTCACAGATACACACAGACAGCTGGGGTGAACTTTGCTTCTGGAAACAGCACTCCTAAAATAAAATGGAAGTTCAAATACCGTGCCACCAGTCCTGGGGGGTTTCATCCCCAAATTCATGTCATCTCCCATGGCTGGTTGGGAATACTGGCTAACTGCAAAGTGGTTCTTGGTTAAACTCTGAGTAGTTTGGAGGCAGAGGACATTAATCACCTTTTCAGAAGAAAAAGGAACAAAGAAAAGAACAGCAGTGCAAAAGATACTGAGAATTTAATTTAGCGTTAATTTAGTTTTCATCCCAGGTCATACTCGGGATGGGGAAAGCAAAGGCTTGAGTGCTGGTTACCTGACCTTGTGCATGAATTACAGGTGCAGTTCTCAACACAAGGTGTTTGAAAACAATCCCCAGCCTCCCCTTGTCATTCCAAGCAGGACATATGCTCTACCAAACACACAGCTCAACCCCCCCAAAATATACCATTTGGTCAGTTTGTTATTTAACCACAGTACTTTCCCTCCCATATTCCCCACTCCTGCATCCACTATGCTCGGGAGGAAAACTGTGTGACTGGTAAAAGCAGCTCTACTCACAAAATCTTTGCCATGTAAAATTCCAAAGCTCCTTTATATCCCTCAGCTCCCTCCTCTCTCGGCACTAGTTGAGAGAAAAGTTGTCAGAATGTATAAGCAGCCAATGCCCTCCCTCATGCCCACCTACATACTGGAATTCAGTGGAAAACTAAATTAATTCCCCCCTTTGCTGGAGGGAGAGGCACTAGATGGTGCTGTAACATTCACTTTTGCAGGATTTCTCTGGGAGAATTACTCAGCTTTGCTGCACTGGGAGCTTTGGGGGTTCTATTTATAGGGGGATTCACAGCAAACGATGGAAAAGTTTGATCTCAGACCTTCTCCTTTTAAATGAGGGGTCTGTGTGTTTCTACAACACACAGCTTTGACTGGGCTGTTTAAAAAGTAGTCTGTTTAGTCTAATTAAACCAGAAAAAGTCCTGTGTGCGTGTGCCATTGATTTCTCCCCTGCCAATAAATTGGCTTGTTATCCACCCAAACCCGCTGCTGTAGGCAGAACAAAGCAATTTGTCCAAGTATTCCAAAATAAAAAGTGACTCCCAACCTTTACAGGGTCTATTCAACACTGACAGGAAGAAAGCAGTTACAGGACAAACAGAAAATCTGTACTTTGGACGTGAAAAAAGCCAATTACAAAAAATATGTGACACCATTTTCGTACCAACAGCCAGGCAGCCCCAAAACTAAAGACACTCCACGTGTCATGTCCACATGGCCAAGGAATTTCCTGGATTTTCAAGTTACCAGTGGAACTTATTACTCCCTTTGTAACCACTTTGTTGCACAAATCAGGGTAATGCAGGTGTTACCTGTCAGTTTAGGCACCCAGCAAACAGGGAAAATTCCTTTTTCTGACTGTAAAACCGGCCCAGATCCTGAGCTGCCAGCTCTGCTTACACCAGATTTGCCATCCCAAAGCTACTAAACCATCAGAGTTGTCCATTTCAATATTAAATGTACTCTCAGAGAACACAAACCACGTGAGGTGATTGCAAAAGCATAAAAATCAGTGATGGAGAGAACTATTGTAGAATAAGTGTGGTTGGACCACAGCTGGGGAGTTAAAGAGCAGCAGAGGAGCAGTTTATACCAAACCAGCTCGTTCTTGCCTCAGTTGGTGTTGTGGTAAGAACAGGGCATATTTATGACTCTCTGCTATCTGCTGGTGACAAAGGAGCAGCTCTGAGTCTGCAGAAGGCCCCAGACAAAGAGCCCATCAGCCAGACATGCCAGTTACTGTGCAGGGAAGCAAATTGTCTTGCCAGGGAATCCTGGCCAAGTAACAAACTGTTTGGCACGTGTGCCAAGCCCATATTCAGCACAAGTGATGGGCAGCGTGGCAGGGAAAGCAAATGGGGCTGTAAACACAAATTTGGTTCAATAAAGGGAATAGAGAGTGAGGGAAAACTCCATAACACTGGCTGGAAGGGTACAGCAAGTCAAAGAGACCCCACATCCTTGGAACCTTTAGGAATATTGTCTCTGTGTAAATCCAGAGTTCCCAGACACACTCCCAGGCCACCTGGGATGTGTCTGTAGCTTTCAGGTGGAGCTTAGCTCAGACCACTGGTTTAACCTGTAAAGAAGATGTATCAGAGCTAAGGGTTTGATATTGCCTTTAACTGTTTTCCATCACAAAATTTTTGGTTGTCTTTGCATTAATGAGGTTCCAAGATCTTTAACCAGTGTAAACAAGAGTGACTCAGAGTCACCGAATCACTGGGGTTGGAAAAGACCTCTGAGATCATCGAGTCCAACCTTTGACACCACCTTGTCACCTAGACCATGGCAGTGATCTAAGACTCCACAGAGTCTTAGCACCTATACCATTTCTTTTCCTTTCTCCATTGCTCCTGCTGGACCTATCAGCAAGTTCAAGATATAGATAGTTCATTGTCTCCATACTTCTGGACATTATTGCCCAAGAAGATCCAATTAGTCCTGTCTGAACAGGAGTTTATGTAGAGCTCACTTCAGCAATCCCTACTCACAGTGGGAGCACTGTCGCTTTTATACATGTATATATTAACCAGCAGAGACAAATTGTTCCCATATATTATGTAAAATAATGTAAATGGGTTTATATACATTTAGATGGAGGTAGTTTGTTCATAAATCTCACTTCAGTTAAAAATACAGAGTACTTAGTGTGAGTTAAAAGTCCTGTTTTCCTTTCTGTGTGTATTTAGAGCGTGCTGCCTCCATTATCCATGCAGGAAAATCACTCGGCACTCAGGGAGCTTCAAGGAAGAAGTTAATATGGCAACATTTACAACAATATTGTCCTTAATCCTGGGGAATTTATCTTGGAAGTTTGTCTGCAGTTTGTCTTGGGGAAGAAGGCCAGTAACCTCAGCAGATGATGGCAGTGAAAATGTATCACTGAGCCAGGGTTAAACATTGAGAAAGAGGGAAAGAGGCACAGCAAAGGCTTGGAAATCAAGACCTTTTTGGTTTTGTCTTTTTATCACACCTTAGTAGAGACTGAGCACACTGTCTTTGCAGGCTGCTTACTTAGGTTTTCTCCATTTCTTGGGCTGAAAGATCATTCCCCAACTTTTTCAGCAGTGGCACTGAGTGTTGCATCACTGCAGAGATGGTGAAAAAAATATGTGCTACGATGTAATGGACATAAACTGCTTATAATGGACATAAATGCCAAACTGCTGGGTTTCTGCCTGGGAGGGCAGAGGAACAGAGGAACAGGCAATGCTCTTATGCTTTTGGAGTTCTTGTTTTCACTGAGTCACAGAATGGTTTGGGTTGGAAGGAACCTTAATAATCATCCATTTCCACCCCCTGCCATGGGCAGGGACACTTTCCAGGTTGCTCCAGGCCCCGTCCAACCTGGCCTTGATGTCCCACATTTCAGCCAAGCAGATCACTGACCATCCCAGTCCCGTTCTGGAGGCATTTCCCAGAGCCTACATCCCCTTGGAACAGCCAAGTCCTTTCACAAGGGTCGTTACACCTTGCAGATTCCCCAACTGCCCCACGTTTAAAATCCATCCAGCTGCCAGTTTTGTCTCTGCTGGAAGGAGAGAAGGGATCCTGCTGCCAGCTGTGTGGAAAGCTCTGTCAGATAACCTCTCTCATGTACAAAGTGACTCACAGAGTAGAATTTTCTCTTTCCCAGCATAACCAGCACATTGAGGGGATTCCTCTACCTGAGAGAACCTCCCAGGGAAACACTGAACTGAGTAACAGCTTAAAGGACTTCAGATAAAGCAACAGTGAAGAGCCCCACTGGGAATGGGAGGGAAATATAGTTCAGAAACATGGAAATTCTCACTCTGCACAAGATGTTTCAGGAATTTGATTACCAGTGCCTTCTGAGTACCACCTGGATATTTAGCTGGCATCAAATCAGCTCTCAACGGAGAGTTTTGTTGTGTCTGTGTGTTCTGAGAGGTAAAAATAACGCACTAATCACATTTTAAGCTGTTATCTAATTGCAGAGAACATAGCAGTGCAGAAATTCAGTCCTCAGAGTTATCACACCAAGTTTTCACCTTGTTTAAGGGCAGATGTACACAGATTCCAAAAAGAAACAGATGTTTTCAAACCATCACAGCTCCTTCCTAGGGGTAATTACCTGTAAATAGTGAGGTTATTAATGCTATTAGTTGAATATCGCTGTCTTCCAAGCATGACAAATTCATCAAAGTAGAAGTTCTAGCACAGGAGTCCCACCTAGGATTAATCTCCTTCAACGACTGAGTGTTTAAGGAGATTTTTCAGCAACAGATCATATTTTGTGGGCCATTCACCAAACAGTTGATTTCCTCCAATGTTCCGAATCACTGGAAGCTCCACATTTTACAACACTAACACCACTCCAAATTTGTCACTGATTTCACGCTTCACAGGTTTTAAGGGTCTAAAGGAGCCAACAAACTGTTCCACAAGGAACTGACCTTCATTTAATGACCTGCCATAGTCAATGGCAAATAAGAATAGGAACAACCAAATTGAGACACAGATTTATAAACTCAAATTGCCAGGTAAATAATAATTTTTTCCCCTTTTTTAGTCATTCTATTTCATGTAAATCAAATATTGTAGAGTTGAAATATAATACATACAGCTCAGCATATTCTCTTCAGAGTGTTTTTTAAATAATGTATTTTGTACCTGTAATTTTTTTGGCATTTAGTTACACTACAATGGAGGCAAATTCATTTTGTCCTTGCCTAAATTTCTGAAAATTCAATTAGTCCATTAATCTTATATTACTAATGTGGACATACAAACAATTTACTAATGGCTTTTGGATGGAAAATTGGATGACTTCTCTCATTTTAAATTTCCTATTGTTTTGTTAAAGAATCTCCCCACCCATTCCATGTTATGGAAAGCAAATCTAAGGCACAAAAGGCGTGAGACTGCTGGGAATTAATTTCCAAAGTCAGGTAAAATGTCATTCCATTGTTCTTTTAAAAATCATCCCCCTAGCACCTGTAACATGAGGAAATGAAAAATGGGAGAGCCTATTAAGCTAAATGGCCTTTTGGAAGGCTGGAGCAAAAGCTTTACAAATGATGTATTGAGGGAGGGCAGCTAAATGCTGTGTTTTCTGTGGTTTCTTTATGTTTTGTTCCTCCCCCAGATAAGTAGGGATTGAAATAAAAAGAGGCTTGGCTAGACGTGTTTTCACTGCCTCGATCATTAGGGTCTGACACTCAACTGGAAGAAGACCAGCCATCAAAGGCAAAATGGAATAATTCCCTTTTAATGCCTTATTTATTGGGATCTGAAGAAGGCTGGGTTAGAGAAAAGGAGCCTTGTGTCCCCTGAGAGCATCTAATTGTGCTCAGCCCCGCCAGCGAGAGGAACGAGAATCAATATTGCACCGGAGACACCTTCCCTGCTTCCTTCAGATGTTTGTAGTTCATAAGGAAAAGGCACTTTGTGCAGAAGTATTCCGGGATTTTAACCCTGGCATCCAGGAACACAGGTCCAGGAAGTTGCTGGTGATTCCCAGGTTTCCATGTCAGAAACACCCCGAGTGCTCTGCTGTTGGTTTGCTCTGTCTCAAGTGCTTCGTGCCCTAAGACCCACTGGGGTAACTGGTTTTAGCACAAACATCAGTGGTTTCCCAGTGCATCCACTCTCTTGCTCTTTCCAACTGTTTTATTTTTGGGAGTAGTTTTGCAACATGTCTCAATAAAGCTTCTAAAAGCAATGGATTCAGGGGTATTTTTAAGGACAAGCTCCTTTCATTTCCAAACCTGAGAGATCTCCTTCCATCTTCTTAGAACAGGTCAGAAAGGGACAAACTGTACGTGAAGCAGCTTTGCTGATCTTAAGGCATCTGGGAGCTACTTTCCAAGGGAAATTCCAGCTGGCAACTACTGTAAGAATCTGAGTTCCAAGCTCCATCAGAATGTACAAGTGGATTGGAAACAAGATGAAAATGGTAGTCCAGTGTTATTTAAATTTAGCCAAAACAATGCAGTTCTGCATTCCATGATCATTTAAATGTATCCTCTCTTCATCCACTGGCCCTTGGAGCAAACACCACGTGCAAACAAACCTGTCCTTTCCTCAGAGCTGGGAAAAGTGACATTCCAACAAGGAAACTGCACAAGAACACTGAGATAGCCCCAGATTTTTAAAGCAAACCCCTACCTGAGACATACAGAAGAAACCCAGGGGATTACTAGTGAGAGACAAAAGGAAACACATTCCAGAGCAGTGCTGCTCCAAAGGATGGGAAATGCTGTTGTTGAACCAACTCTGTTCCCCAATTACCTGAATAAAAAGGATTCAGCCAAAGGACTCTACATAAGACAACTCTATCTTCTGAAACAGAATCAAAGGCAAAGAATCTATTCTATTGACAAAATAATTAAATCATTAATAACTGCATGCATATAAATTTGGGACTGAATGATATCAATTAAATTCAATTAACATCTGTGCAATGCTTTGAGGACATAAAACGTCATGTAACTCTAAAGAATTCTTAGAATTAATCCTATTAATCCTATTTTTAGGATTTATTAATCCTAAAACAGTTTTTGCTGCCTTAGCACACTGCTAATGTGAAAATCACCATAAGCAAAGGCAGGGGTGCTCCAAAGATTTAGGGTGGCTGGTAATGCTTTTGTATGAAAAAGTAAGAGTTTTTTCCATGGAATCAAGTTCCACTTGAAACTGGCAGTTATAGGCAAATCAATACTGATGACATTTTAAAAATAACCATATTCTCTGTAACACTATTGATTTCAGCAGGAGTGACTAAAGAAAGGATATACATAAATATACCAAAAAGAGAAGGGTTGGATATTAATGTCATCTTTTATCATCGTAGCCACTAACTTGGCTGCAAAGTATTGATTACCTTAAAAGCCCCTAATAACTAAAGAACTATTGACTTAATATTTTTCTCTAATCCTCCATGAAATTTTACAGTAAGTCCTGATGTATTTTCTGTTAAAGAGTTTTAGGGCTGAACTATATCATGTACTTATCTGAAGTGTCAGCTCTGGGGCTTACACTGCAGCTGATGAGAGCTCTGGAAAAGGTGAGTTATAACTCCCAAGATTTAAGGATGGTTTCAGGGACTCTGGAAATAGATACATCTTCCTCTGTATATTATTCCATAGCTTTTGTCTTTTAAATAATCTTTCTAATTAGGGAATAATTTAATATAAATTTATTCAGTGGAAATTCATAATTACACAAGTACAGCTGTTCAGAAAATTCCCTCATCATTGTATGAGTGTCTCAACAGCCTTTTTTACTGCTGCCTATTTTCCCATCACTAACACACTCATTGTCTGGTTTTCTAAAACTCCAGTGAGTGGTACTGATCAAACTTGAATGAGGGAATAGTGAAAGAAAACTTACCCAAACATCTGAACTCCTCTGATCCCTTTAAAGTGAGTGGATAACCTAATCCCAACCCATGTGCAGGGACACCTTCCACCAGCCCAGGTTGCTCCAAGCCCCATCCAACCTGGCCTTGGACACTTCCAGGGATCCAGGAGCAGCCACAGCTTCTCTGGGCAACCTGTGCCAGGGCCTCCCCACCCTCCCAGGGAGGAATTTCTTCCTAATACCCAGTCTGAATCTACCCTCTTTCAGCTTAAAGCCACTCCCCCTCATCTTCTCTAGATCCTGGCCCCCGAGATCCTGCATTGTCATGGAGCAACTGGAGAGCTTCTCACCTTGAGTCACGTTTGGTTTGAGTTCAAACCAAGCAGCCAGGAGGTTTCCAGCCCCCTTGGATGCTCCTGAGGCCCCTTTGCACTGTGGTTCTCCTGATGTGTCTCTAATATCCCATTCCTAACCTGTTCAAATTTATCCAGCCCTTCCACCCCTATAAACCTCACCTCAGTCCAAACTGCTGATACAGAGAAAAGCTTTGCTCACCCTCAGCAATTCCCCTGAGCCAAATTTTATCCATTCCAAGCATATTTACAGAAATACCTTCAAGATTTTGCTACCAGAATTACAAGAACATCTCTTTGCTTTTTCCAAAAAGATTACAGACTTTTAGATTAAGCATTAGTAGCAGAAATAGTATAGAAAGAGAGGTGATATTATAGAGCTCTTTCTGCCTGACATCCTCATATCACCTAAAGTCACACTTTCCAAGATCTCTTCATAGAGGGAAGGTGATACATAATGTGACCCAGCAAAGAACAGACTGTTTTTCCCTTGCCTCCAGTAAAATAAGGACTTTGCTTGATCCCATGAGTTACATCTAATCCTTAGTGATTGGTTTGGGCTCAATCCTATAATCACTTATTTATGGGACTATCTTTATTATAGGAGCAGCCTCATTAAAACAAATGGGTTGGTTATTCATGTTTTCTTTGAAGGGCTCCTCAAAGCCATTTAAGCCCCCAAGTCCTATTTAAGCCCTGCTTTCCCCTGGGTCTTCCCAGCCCTCTGGAAGGGTTTGGGATCTCCTCCATCACAGGCCGGGAGCATCCCAGCGAGGAGGGGACCTGCTGGGAGCTCACAGCCTCCCTCACACCGAGGGCAGCTGGCCCTAGAGCTCTGCCCTTAGAGGAGTCAGAGCACAGCACTAATTATTTTAATGACTGGAAATGAACTGTGAATTCCTTAAGAGCCATTGAAGCAAAACATTTTCAGTCGATCTCCCCCCATTAATACCAGAGCACTGGAGATTGCTCATATCTTTAATAAGATGAAGTACATCTGCTGGATTTCCCTCGTTAATATTAGGCCAAGTGTTGAAATATCAAACCTTTAGATGTAATAAAGGGAAGGGATAAAAAAAAAAAAAAAAAAAAGAAAAAAAAGAAAAAAACTTACAACATCTGAGCTGTGCTGAGCTGGAGTGTTTGTGTCCATCAGTGCATCCCCAAGGAGACCTGGAAGGGAATGAGTCCAGGGCTACCCTGCTCCTCCTGCAGCACCCAAGAGGCCTTGGGATGCCCAGGCAGCTCTGTGGGCTGTGGGACAGTGTGGGATGCAGGATGCTCTGGGGGATGCAGGACAGTATGGGATGCAGGATGCTCTGTGGGATGCAGGATGTTCTGCTGCACAGGGCCCGAGTGTGTGTCTGGCTCTGGACTTTGTCATCTCCAGACCAGCAGTTATTCCTCTCCCCTGTTT